AGACTCCAAGGCCTGTTGATGCATTCCACTACTAGATGAAGAATTATTGTATAGCATATTTATTTCTTTCTTCAACTATCTTCTCTAGTATGCAATCCGTGAAGAATAGTTTGTATAAAGTAAAAGGATCATTACAGTCAGTGTTTTCATATAAAAATTCCTCTTCTTCCGAATACTCATTTATTGGTGAATTTCTTTCTTTTACTTCCTTCCATTCTTCACCATGATCATCTTACTCTGATTTAGAAATCAAATCTTCTTCCTCTGTAGAACATTCGTCCACTTCACTGTTTACATTAACAAAATTCTCATCTGAAGAGAAAGAATGTTTCCATAATCTTGATGCAGTTCTCCTGCTTCTTCTATTGATAGATTCATCAGACGAATCACTTATTTCCATATCCATGTTATCTATTATTTATAAGGACAAAAATTAAAAAAACATTCTAACTGGCTTTCGAGTTATACTTACTGGCAAAAATCTGAGGTTCGGATGAAAAAACCGCACGAGTAACACAACTTGCAAAATAAGTACTCACTATACAATTAGCAAACGTAAAACTCTTAAACAGGTCTGAGCAGGTAATAATCGCGCGCCACCAGATGAAACGCGACAAAAATCCGAGCACCGCCTCACGGCGAAGAACATAAAATTCGGCCCCGGCGTGAACGTGTTAATTTATGATTCCCTTTACGTTGGGCTCGAATGTGTCATATAATGGTGTTAGTGATTAATGGAAATAAGCTTCTTAAAACTTTAGAATAACAAAGAGATTGTAATGTATGTAAAGGTGTATCCCCATTTTATATTTAATGTGTATTACATTGATATAATGACTCCCTATATGGTGGACACGAGGAAATAAAAATTATGCGTCTTTTGCTAAGTGCAAGAGTGACATCGGACATAACACTGTGTAAACCAACAACTGACTGCCGTATCTAGAGGGCGTCAGCTGCTGTAAACTAATAAATGATTGCCGCATATAAGCGGCGTCAGCCTCCGTGGACCGAAAAGTGACTGTCGTATGTAGATGGCGTTAGCTGCTGTGATGCACCAAGTGATTACCGTATTTAGACGTTACCCCTCGCGAAAGGGTTAAGATTATTTTTAAGTTCAGCAGCGATGTTTATTGCACTTATCGTTGGATTTTGTTTTATTTTTCGAATTATGCATCGGTTAATGTACTAATTTATTTTGATTTTACATTTGTTTCGTGGATTATTCATGTCTATCAAATGATTCTTGGAATCGTGAACCATGGTGATCTACTTACAATTTTAGAAATTTCACTCAGTGTTTTGTACTTATTATATAAATATATAATAATTTTCTTTTCTTCTTCAATAGTTTCATTTTCGTCCCATTTTATAATTATCATTGGTGAATATAATTAAATTTATAATATTTTTTGTATTTACAATGCCTCCAGATATACTGATCCTAGATATATTGATATAAGATGTATTATCTTGTATTTATCCCATGTACAGTATCACGAATCAAAAACTCTACGAATATTTATTGCACGTATATTTTCTGCTTATTTTTGAAGAATTGTTAATATTGTAAACACAAAAGAAAACTAACTTAATTTTAAATCTTAGGATCTTCAATCGTAAAATCGAATTACATGTGGTTTTAAGTACGTCTTGATTCCTTTGCTTCTTACAATCAACTCTGTATTTTCTGCTCGATATTTGTTTTCTCTTTCGTTTGTTGCATTATCCATTATCCTCATATATTTCGAAAACATTCAGTTGAAGTTCGCTTGACAAACGAAAATCTGTACCGTTAAAAACTTTTGTACTCCGCGCGTTTCTCTACTACTGCCTACCAATAACTCCAGCATATTTTTGAAGCAAAGCGTCTGAGAAAAAAGTTTTACTTTGAATGGAAAAAATTACACGTGCTTGTGAATGTATTTGATATTATTTATTATATGAATATCAATTTTTACTTCTTTTATTATCATATATTACCGTCATCATATGTATCATGATGTATATGAAATAAACATATTCTTTTTCTGCTTCTTATTATTATATTATTATATTACATATTATTATTATTATTGTAATAGTAGTAATAATAATAATAATATGAAATTAACTTCTACAGTGGAATCCATAACAAAATAGGGCTGGGAAAGAAATTTCGCAGAAATGATAACGAATTCATATATTGATCTTTACTAAAAAGATTAAATAATATGTATATTTCGGATATAATTAGTAAATTAGTTTCAGTTGATTACATATATAATGAACCATTGGTATTCTGTAAGAAAAAAGCAGAATATATTATATAAAAAATAAAAAATGTATATATACAAATATATAAAATCATTTTAATTATACTTAAATAAAGTTTTCTTTGATAAATATGATAATCTACAAAAATTGGAAATAATTTCACCAAGAATAGTTTCTTTTTCATGTTACGCATAATTATCGGTAATGGTTCTAGTATCATGGATATCAGGAGTCATAAATAATTTAATAAATTAGTTCATATTATAAACAATGTAATGAACATGTGAAATAAATATCGATCAGTCAAACAGAACGATGCTTTTCGATATAAATATTCACACGCATTATGCAACTGATAAATCAAAGATAGATAGATAGTTATATACATGCATACATACATACATACATATACATATATATATATATTAATATAAATATCATATTCATAGAAGTGTGAAATTATAAATGGGAAGATAGGGCTAAGAAGAGAGAAGTAAATACGTGACGTTGAGATGAGTCGTTTATAAAATTATAAACTATGCGAAGAATCAACTATGGCAAAATAATAGTGGAGCAGTGAGTATGTTTACTGTTTGTAGGAGGGAGTAAGAAAGAATAAAATGTATAGGTTCTATATAGAGCGAATAATCGAAAGGGAAGAAGAGTTAGCGAGTAAGGGTTATGAAGTAAGAGAGAGAGAGAGAGGGAGAGAGAGAGAGTTATAACGAATGAGTGAGAGGGAAGAAAGCATGTGGAACCGGCCAAAAGCAAGTGTGTGCGTGTCGAAAGATAATTCCGACCCACTTGGATTACCCACGTGCTCGAATTTTATTTCTACACGTGTGTGCGCATTTTTAACTTTCTTTATTTTTATTTATTTATCTTTTTTGAAAATCTTAAATAACAATTAACGAACAAGTTCAATGTTTCAATTTGAATTTTTCATAGTCTCTCATTGACGTATTTTCTAAATGGATAAGGCTAATATGAGATTTGTTCATATCGCTCATCTCTCTCTTTCTTTCTCTCCCCCCTACTAGCTCTCTCTCTCTATCTCAAGTTCACGATATCGCGACAGTCTATTGCCCGTCCAGTAAAACCAGTTGCAAGAGCAGATTTATACTGATTCAAGGACATGAACTAACAAAACGTTTCGACCCTTAATATATTTTCAAATGCAACATCTGCTCGTGGAACAGATGCGTTTACCACAGACGATCAGTTTACATTTATAAAGAGGTTTTCATAAGGGAAACCTGTTGCCCGCAACAATTAATTCTCATTTTTATTTGTTCGCATTATAATGTATTCCCTACCACATATATGCCTACATATGCACGTATATATACATTATATATGTAGTCTCAATCGTGCATCGGCAACAGAAACTACGAAAAATTTCCAAAACAGAATAATTGTAATAGTAAATCTTCATTAATTATATTTACAATGATATATTCCCTTCATATTATTAATGTTCTGAAATTTATAACTATTTTTTTCGTTCAGTAATTCGTTATACATTTCGTTTAATAGTTACATTTTAAATTTGTCGATTTTTCGTTCTTTTTGATATTATACTTTTATAAATTCAAAAAATATTTATTAATTAAAATGAAAAATATATAGGAATATATAAATATATACAAACACACACACACACACACACAAACATACAATACGAATCATAAAAGAGAGAAACTAATATAAAGTAAAGAACATGAGTATATGTAGATTTTTTAAGATATATGTATAGGTATATAAAAATAATTAAATCTATATAGTATGTGTTAATATAGCAATTTAGTATAATATAAAAAATTATCGTAATATAATATATTGTAAATATAATACAATTGTATATAGTATTTATATATTACCATTCAAATATTTTTTTGAAAATATGTAAAATACACATGATACTACATATTAATATGCTGATACTACATATAAAATATATTTTATATGTAATAAAATAAATGTACAAACAAAACATAATGCATACAAAAAAAAGAAAAGTACCTAAAAATAATTGATTTTCCATATTCGAATTTAGTATCAAACGTTAAAAAATTTCTCAACCCGAGTTTGATTGATACGTCGTTGTTTCATTCATCTAATAATAAAAATTATTTGTTTTTATAAAAAGTATAAAAAAAAGAAAATAAAGAAAAATTATATATTTCTTTCCAAAAAAAGGAAAAAAATCTCCTTTAATGATGGGTTGGTATAATTACGCCTGAATTCTCCAACGCCATCTAACGATCTGTCCTGGAAATGGAAAACTGATAAAGAAATAATAGCCCTGTTCTTATTAGACATATAAGGTTAAGTTACCTTAATTTTATAATCAATCTTCGTTTAAAAAATAGATTGATAGATACGTTTGATCCTATGGCTTGTTATAGTGATATACTTTCGTTATGTGTAACAATTATGTTAAGTTAATACCAATATTTAAGAAAATCATTTGCATAACCATATTCTCAATATATATAGATATATCATAAAATAATATTTTACTATAATGTCTTTATTACGAATTATTCGATATAACGAATTATTCGTTATTTTTCCGTTAACTGCAAGGTAATTATTCTCCTTTAAATCATTATAAGCTTTTAGAAAAAGAAATTATACTTGATGTTACTAATTTTTTTCCTTTTTTATACAAGTCATCTTTGTATATTATTGCTAATATTGAATATCATTAAGGATAATAAATATAAAAATCTTTTTTTCAGAGAATTCCTTTTGAGTAATTCGTCCAAAAGAAAAAGCAATGTCGTCGTTCAATTCAAGAAAGACTTCAACGCCATAGTTAGTTCATCTATTAAACAAGAGTACAAGAAACAAAAGATTCTATCAAACATTTATAAAGTTGGTTGAAGAACATTAGCAACAGATGCAACTTAACATTAAAAATAAATATGAAACAAATTTCAAGCAAATAAACAAGATAATGAAGTAACAAGAGATACTGACCAGTCGCATTTTTCATGGAAAGACTTTTTGGAGTATTTATATCCACATACTTGTTATTTATTGATTTCTTTGTCAGTAAGTATGAAAATATTAATAAAAAGTAAATTAAGCGTACACAATACAATTATCTTCCTTCAAATGTTCATAAAAATGATATAACAAAAAATACTCTAATCAAATTAGATTATAGATATAAAATTTATTTATCGACCAACAGAAATTAAATTTATTAGGTAATATAAATTTAATTAATTGTGCAAGTGTTGCGGTACCGGATGAGATATTTTCTACCGTCTTCGTGTAAATCCATATTGTTTCACTACATACTGTATATTTTTTTATTTGTAGAGCGCCCTAATGGTTACAATGTTAAATTCTTGGATACTGCAGTCTATCGGTAATATCATAAATATATTGACAAAAATATACCAAGACAAAAAAAAAATGATTCTACATTGAATACTTTGGAAATACTTCTTAGACCACCATTTGTGCTGGCACATATATATGTTGCACAAGTATGCACATTTTATATATCTTCCAAAATTTCAAATATGTATTCAAAATATGTACATCGCAAGGCTAAAGAAGTTCTACACAATTTATTGATCGTGTTATTTCCATAATAATGTTATAGCCTCAGCTGAGAGTATCAATGTTATTACGTATGTCAACAGTTTTATATTTATTGGTAATCTATTAGGAAAAAACTTGCGTAATTTTTCTACAAAAACTCAAAATCAAATTGTGGAAGCTGCTGTTTGTGAAGAAGCTATCCAAAATATACCAACGGTAAATTAAGAATTATTCTATACTTTAAAATCTGCTCAAATGCTATACCAATGGAACATTGATATGTTGACCATAACACCGAAATAACTTGTTTTGACGTTACGAAAGTATTTTTATTATTCTAAACATATAATGGCAAAATAATAATAAAAATGGTTGTATAAATATGGTCAAGAATGTTATTTTAAAGTATTTTCTTATTAGTCATGTTGTTGAAAATTCAGTGACTGTCAATGTTCTTTCAACTTTTACAATTATAAACATTTGAAGTACTTTGGTGACCGATGACTATAGTGAAACAATTGCGGTCACATATGACCACCGTGGCGATCAACGTATTAATTTGTATAATGATCTTTTTATTTTTTACAGGTAAAAGCGTTTGCAGGAGGAAATCAAGAAACAGAAATATTTTCTAAAGAAGTTGAATATGCAACTGAGTTATATGAAAATTTAGAATTTGGTATTGGTTTGTTTTTAGCAGGAACAGATTTATTTTGAAATAGTATTTTGCTTCGTTCATTGTACTTTAGTGATCATTTAATGTCTATTGGGCAATTAACATTTGGCGATCTTATGGCATTTTTTATGGCAATCGAAATAGTTCAAAGATCTTTCTCTCAACTATCTTTATTGCTTGGAAGATACGTAAGAGGAATCAGTTTAAGTGCCTAATTTGAAATTTATTTTATGATACTTAAATATGCCATCAACACCAATGTTAGTAGGAATAAAGCAACCATCGATTTTAATATTAGTCGAAGCAACGATATGTAAAAAGACTAAATATAATTAGTCACATATCTTATTGTGTATTCTGTATGAATTTTATCTTTTTTAAATTTAATGCATTGGATTATGAAAGCAAAAAAATGGTTCAGAGTGCGTTAGAAAATGTAACTAGAAATAGATTAGTTATTGTTCATAGACTAAATACTATTAAACCTGCTTATGTTACTATTGTATTACAATATGTTATTGTAGAGATAGGTTGAAAAATGAATCGGTGTTCTTTCACTATCTGCGCATAGCTACTTTATCTTGCAATATTTTGTTCTTTTTTTTGTTCTTTTTTTTGTTCTTTTTTTTTCTTTTCTTCTTTACAATTTACAATTAAAAATGAACTAAAAGATATTGACAATTGACAATTATTTTTTATCATTCGGTATTATATTATATTTACTCGTATTATTCTGTTTTATAATTGATGCATCATTAATGATTAACAAAATATAATTTTTTTTGGAAGTAGCTTTACTCCAATTTTTTTTAAATTGAAAAAATCGCGTAGAACTGTAATTATTATAATATAATTAATTATAATTAATAATTATTGTAATAAAAAGTTACAATTATAATAATTATTATAATTATTAACATTAATCGCTATAAAATTATTCCTTAGTTCATATTCCTAAGTTCAGAAATTTTAAATGTTTCTTTTTGTAAATTTAGTTATACTTAAAGTTGCATAATAAAGAGTATATTTTGAAAAAATGTAATAATAAAAAGAACCAAATTATAAAAAGAAATATCTTTGCAAATGAATGTGATGTTATTAAATAATTAAAATAATATAATCTTATTTTCAAATTGTGTATTATGGTTAGACGAGAATCAATGAAAAAATTCCTCATAATAACTAAATTTTATATCTTGAAGAGAAAGATTTTTACATTGCACGCATGCGCGAATGCACACACATAGAGAAAAACGTGATGATTAAACAGATGACTTAAAGAGTTATGAAAACACACGAGGGAGTAGGTATTACGAACGGATTGTGAAAATATTCATTTACGTAATCCTTTTTGAAAATCGGTAAGTAGAAATTCAATCTACCCTGATATTTATTTCGCGTGAATCCCTATATCTCTTAAAAGCATACATGTAAAACATAGCATATATGATTTGTAATGAATATTGGAAAAAGCATTTTTGAAATATTGATCGTATTGAATAAGTACTTATATTAAATTGATGGTATAATGATAACACAGTGATGAATACGTAGAAGCAACTTCTCTCGTATTATTTAAAAATATTCTTGAACAAACATTATCTTAATAAACAAATAAATCTCTTAATTATATCTGCAGTTTTGAGAATTTTGAAATTTAAACTTCACTTTGTTTTACTCTGATTTTTTCTAAACTCATTCTTCAATTTATATTTCAATTTTCCATTTTCATAATCATTTCTGCCCTCGGTACTGTTTCCTGTTATATCCAAATTATTATTATTATTAGTCATGATCATCTATTTAACTTCGTTTTTATGATACACCGTGTTAGGTATTTTGAATTTAAATCGAGACTTGCTAATTCAATGATCGAGCAGACACCAACAATCCTCTCATTAAAATTAAATTTATCTCTGGAATCATTATTGTCGAGATAATCATTTCTATCGTCGATTGAATCATAAACGATCGTCGGCTCATACTTTTTACCATCATCTTCAATTTCTTTTTCATTTTCTACTTCAACATAGATCAATAGATTCTCCTCTTTAGAATCATCGTTATTCTACTTAAAATTTTTCTCATCATTTTTAATTTCACCGATGGTTTTGAAATAAATACAATGATCGTATCTATAATTTGCTAAACAAGTGCTATCCAAATTATCATTAAATCGATATCCAAGAACATTATCAACTTTATGATTGATCTTCATTTCCTTTTCGTGATGAGATCTACGTTCGATTTCTTTCGAAAATATGAGATTAGTTTGTTCGAGATAATATTCCACTTTGATATACGCTTCTGACGGTCCTTTGATAATTTTTTTAATCTTACTCGATCATATTGTCCCAAATTAATGAGAGAAAGTGAATACCTTTGAAAAATACCATAAGTTAGGTGCGCGATAATGAATATAGCGCGAATTAAATATCGCAATATATTTGTTGAAGTGAAATACAATGGTAGATGTGTTCGAGTATATTAACGTAAAGTTAGTTGTGCTAGCTATTTCGAAAAGAGTAATCTTTAATACGATTCGGAGATCTGAACGATGTAAGTTCGAAAGGTTGATTGACTTTTTGGTGTCTCTCGAAATGTCCGCAAGAACAGTAATGAGAGTAGGAAAGAAGTAAAACAGAGCGGAAATGAAATACAATCAATTCATGGAAAAGAAAGATGACTATTGATCGGAGACAGGTCAGGATATTTCTTTCAAATGTTTAAACAATCCTATGTGTTATCCTTTTGTTTTGATGATTTTGTAGACTAGAGGGTGCCAATGGATATTTCAAGCATCTACTTTCAATGTTTATTTATTGTCCGATCAAACATATTATTGAAACTATATGCTTGACAAAAAAATGCATAAGCTCGAAGAAAAATAGCAATGTATTTTTTATCTATACTCATTCTTAACGAGTTTCCAAAAAGTTCCCAAGGACAGATATTTCCAATAGTGATATATGACTCTTAGGAAAAATTACTATGATTAACTGAGAGACACACGTGTGCGTCAACATATTTGTCCCCTTAAATGATCACGTTTAAAGCAAAAAAGAATAAAGATATTCGTTGAAGATTCGCTAAGATTTATTTGACATAAATGATCTATTAATGTTATATTTGTACTATATTCGTTGATTCGAATATGATAGTGCATGAATACGAATACGAATATATGCGTAGTATAAATGACTTATAAACTGACATATGTTGAACTTATAAGTTAATTACATTGATACGTTACTCGAATTAATCAAGTAAGAAATAAAATTTATAAACAATTAATAATTGCATATGACTACATTTAATCTGCCTTGGTTGGTAGCGATGCAACCTCGTTCGTTTTTGTGACCTTGTGGATTGTTGCTACGTAAACGATCCCTTCCTCATCAAGATGGCTTGTGATAACGTGGTCTAAAATTCATCGCATAGGCGGCGTATTATCTTTTTCGGAATATATAACTTGGAAATTTTCTGCTCCACTTTGATGCCATTTCCTCCATATTGTTGATTGCGCTAATGCTTTCCACGTTTGTTTTAATTTTTGATAATATTGACATGTAAAGAATCGTGATGCTGGAATCTGCCATCGTCCATACGACTTTAAGTTCGCTTATTATTCAGCTTGCAATTGAGGAAGTGAGTAAGAGCGAATAAGACAAAGCGTTAAGAGAAAAAGGGGAGAAGGTGAAAGTTAAGGTTTGCCTTTGAGCGTACATGTGAAGTATTTTTGTAAGTACATGTAAATAAGAGAAAAATAATTATTCTCCTAATTAATAAAGTATTTAAGATATGTCATATATTATAGCATATATTCGATAAATATGAAAGAATTTAAATAAGAGAAAAATAATTATTCTTATATTCTTTAATAATGTAGATAGGTAATTATTATATTAATTAAGATTATAAATTAATAATATTTATTTATAATTAAGATATAAATTTAATATAATTATTTTATATTTAGATTAATAATCTTTCATTGCATATTAATATAGATTATTTTATATAAGGAAAATATTTATAAGTTTTTTTAAAAAAATAATTATTTGATTGAAAGAATTTAATTTTAATATAAAAAGAAAATATTAATAAGTATGAATTATAAATTGTAATTATTTAAATTATATAAATATTTATTAATAGATTAGTATGTTGTTATTATAATAATAAATTTAAGAAGAGTATGTATTTGATAGTAATGGTTCCGATGGTGCCATTTTTATTTCTTATGGATTTGTTATGAAAGATATGATGAACAAGATATGATATGAAAGATTGCATCGTTTACAAGTTCCTTAGATTCGAGAGGAGGCAATCATGATTCGTGAGGAGGCAATTTTACTGTTTTATTTTTTCGACATTGTTCGCCATGTTACTCGATCGTTGCATCGATTAACTTATGATATTTGGATGCGTAATGATTTCTTGCACGGATGATGCAAAGCATGTTTTTGAAAAAGCTTGCTGCGGTTTTGATAGCATGTATATATTTAAAAATTTAGGATAATCTTCGCGTTTAATATGCGCCGGAAGAATTTTTTAAACCGTGGTTACTTCTATACAATAATCGTTGATGAGATTGAATGTGTCTGTAAGAATAAGCTTCTCATTTCATGTAAAAATTTAAATAATTGATCCAAGATAAGAAATCCATTCGATCAGAGATCTTCAGACCACGTTGCAGTGGAGTTTTGGCTGATTGTAATAGTCAATCAATGTTGCTCCAAGCGAGAACATAATTTGACGCGGTAATGTTTATAAATGAAATGAATGACGCGAGTTCGCCTTGTGGACATGATTTTAGATAAATTAAACGTTTACAGTCGTCCGGGAAACGATTATTGTGAATGGAATATTTGAATTGATTCGCGAAACCGGGCCAATCTTTATATCGGCCGCTAAAATTGGACAGTGCGATTCGCGGTAGATATATCGTTTTATCATCGTTTAGATTACAAAACTTTACTCGCGTTTACTATTACTATTAATCTTTCTGCAATTGACAATGTTTTTACGTAATTATTCTCAATATCAAGTTTTTCATCTAAGTACGTCCACGCAACGGGGAAGTACTTTAATAAAGTATCTTGAATTTCATTGAAAATAATAAAGCTTTCCTTCATATGATTAATTTTTGACCTTAAATGATATATGTTTCCATTTATTCGACAAAATTGAATTATATCTTTAAAAAGCATTTTAATTGAGCTTTGAAAATTCGACGCTTAAACTTTAAGCCATTTAAGTTTTCTACGGCAGAGGCTTCCACTGAGGAAGAGAATAGGAAAGGAAAAATAAATAATCTTACTTGAAAGATGTAATGCTACCAGATTGATGAGTCTGGCGGACTTTATCACTGCGATTTCCGACAGTTCGTTGATTCTCTGATAATTCGTTTTTTGCGATAGGCTGCTAGTAAACTCGACTGGTTCGTTTCCTTACGTGGTGATTTGACTGGTTCTTAGGCCGCTCACAGGATCAGTGTCACCAATATTCACCTTGAAAGACCAAAATTATATTGCGTCGTGATTAATTGAAGCCAAAATAGAGGCAAATTATTGTTAATAATTAAACTGAATACTTTTTCCAATTAAATTTACTCCTACATCTTCCCTCTTATTATTAATTAATCTATTTATATAGTTTAATTAAAACATTTTATTTTCAATAAAAAAATAATATTAATATATTTATCAATTTAAAATTAATATAATCCTTTATATTAACTTAAAATTTTTTCTCTATATATTTACATATATAAGAAATAAACTATATAAAGCTTCTAACATTATCTTAATGATTAAAAATCATTTTATTTCTACTATTTGTAAACTCTCTATAACAATTATTTAAAAACAATCTATGTTACTCTAATATCTTCAATATTAAGCTCTTTATTTAAGCTATTTAAATTATCTATAGATTAATTAATAAATAATTATCATATAAATTAAAAAATACATAAATATAAATAAATTTAAATATATAAATTTATTCAACATTAACAAATGAAATAAATTTTTAATAAATCTCTCCTTTATTCTATAAACAAGCAATTACGAGAGTGCTTTCAGATACGCTTTTCACATCGGTCCAGTGATGATAGTCGATTTGCACGGAGAATCTTCCCCAGTTTCTTTCTAATCCAATCACTGGACGCGATTAATAAGAGCCACAACACAAGGTTAGGATTACGTTGAAGGTCATTAACAAAAGACCGTTCGGCACGTTCTTGAAAATTACTGAAAGAATGTGAATTCTTTTGAAGGATCCCATGGAACTCGTGAGAGTATCTGCTCTAATGCGTATCCGATGCGCAGCAATGAATATAGCGTGAATTAAATATCGCAATATATTGGGTTGTTCGGAAAGTAATTTCGTTTTTTCCCGACAGAGGATTTAATTGTATTTTTTTGCATCCAACTTCACACTTAAGCCGCATAATCATTATATATTTTGAAAGCTGATATAACAAGGCTTGTGTGTGAAAAAGTCCAATTGATTCTACACAGTAGTTTTTGGTTCGTGACCTTTTAAATATGGAGAGCAATAAGCAACATTTTCGTCATATTTTACTTTTTTATTATAGAAAAGATAAAAAATCTTGTTCAAGCCAGAAAGAAATTAACCGATGTGTTGACAGTTCGCCAATGCCAGAACTGCTTTGCAAAATTTCGATCCGGCAATTTTGATGTCGAAGATGCACCATGTTCTGGAAGGCCGGTTTTAGCTGATAAAGACACGATAAAGGCATTAGTTGATGCAAACTGGCGAATAACAACACGTGAGATCGGTGAGAGGTTAAATTTATCAAATTCAAGTGTTTATGACCACTTGAAAGGCCTGGGTTTAATCTCGAAGCTCGATATATGGGTTCCCCATGTTCTCACGGAGAGAAATTTGTGTCGTTTTTTTTTTTGAGATTTTACCGGATAACACAACAATTAATTCGGAAGTTTACTGTCATCAGCTGAACAAACTGAATGATGCATTTCAACAGAAAAGGCCAGAATTAATCAACAAAAAAGGTGTAGTGTTCCACCAAGATAATGCGAGACCTCATACAAGTTTGGTCTCTCGCCAAAAGTTTTTACAGCTTGAATGGGATACAATGCCACACCCACCATATTCTCCAGATCTGGCATCTTCGGATTATCATTTGTTCCGGTCACTATAAAATTTTTTAGACGGTAAAACTTTCACTTCAAATGAGGAGGTCAAAAATCACCTCGATCAGTTTTTTGCCAGCAAAGACCAAAAATTTTACGAGCGTGGAATCATGTTACTACCAGAAAGATGGCAAAAGGTATTGTACCAGAATGGCCAATATATAAATTAATAAAATATTTGTACATTATACGAAAATTGTCTTTTATTTTCACAAAAAAAAATAAACAAAAAAACGAAATTACTTTTCGAACAACTCATTATTTGTTGAAGTGAGATACAATGCTAGATGTGTTCGTGTATATTAACGTAAAGTTAGTTATGCTAGCTATTTCTAAAAGAGTAATCTTTAATACGACTCGGAGATCTGAACGATGTAAGTTCGAAAGGTTGATTGACTTTTTGGTGTCTCTCGAAATGTCCGCAAGAACAGTAATGAGAGTAGGAAAGAAGTAAAACAGAGCGGAAATGAAATACAATCAATTCATGGAAAAGAAAGATGACTATTGATCGGAGACAGGTCAGGATATTTCTTTCAAATGTTTAAACAATCCTATGTGTTATCCTTTTGTTCTGATGATTTTGTAGACTAGAGGGTGTCAATGGATATTTCAAGCATCTACTTTCAATATTTATTTATTGTCCGATCAAATACATTATTGAAGCTATATGCTTGACTTTATGCTACATTTAAAAAATACATAACCTTATGCAATGTTTTTTTTATCTATGCTCTTTTATAGTGAGTATTCAAAGAATTCGCAAAGGTAAATATTTCCAATAGTGATATATAACCCTTAGGAGAAAGTTCCGTGGACACTTGAGAGACGCACGTGTAAGTGAACAATTTTTAAAAAGTAAAATGATCGAAAGGATATGCATATGGATATGGAGAATAATCGATAGGAGAAATCAAAAGGAGAGAAAAAAGAATAATAAAAAAAAAAAAAGAGAAAAAAAAAGAAAATAAATAGAATGAAAATCAAAATTATTGGTACCATATTAATATTTATAATGATGTAATTTGTAATTTATGATTGCGTCAATATTTCCTAAATTAAAACTAAACGGCGCACGCTCGAGCACGAAGTCCAGGATTGGGTGTGAAGGTGTGATGGAAAAATAGGGAGGGAAACCGGAACTTCTCACTCGAATTGATTGTAACTGTCATTCGTTAAAAGACAGCGTATGTGATGTGTCAAAAGCAAAGAAATATATACCGAAGAAGAAGAGCATTCAGAAAAGATAACGAATATAAAATGGCTGATAAAGTGACAATAATGAAGACACTCCTCGTATTTTTCTCTTGTATATTTTGGGTAAGATAAGTGATATTTGAATTTTATAATTTTTCATATCTAATGGAAGAATTTATTTTTATAGACTTTTTTTCTTATATCAGGCAATTGTATAATTCTTAATTAAAAACACTATATTATACACTATTTTGTACAATTTTATATCCAATACTATGATTTATTGTTTTATAATATACTATATTATTTGCTATAGAAAATTATATAACTTTTATTTTTTATTTTTTCTTTTTTTTTTACATTATATTTTATACAGTGTAATTTATCTTTGATATATTATTCTACAATATTAAATCAAAAAGAATGTATAATTAGAGATATCTAAATTAGAATATTTTTGTTTAATTATTTACATGATTAATCACTTGACATACGATGACGTCTCTGAAACGTCATTCATTTCATGTGCCATTGTAGACTTTGACGTCTCCGAGACGTCAAGAACACCGGGCAGTATATAATTGAGCTAAATTAAATGGTATCTTACGGACGCGTCGATACTCATTTTAATTGTATGTCAACTGATTAATTAGTATAATCGTACATAAAATCAACTGCTGCACAACAGTTTCCTATTTGACGAATCAATGACACTAGTTGATTTGCTCATTTGTTTGTTTGACATTAATTGAATAGCTTGTTTATGGATTAGTTAATCGATTAGAATAGAGATACATGATACAATTGTTTTGGAGAAAAACCGCAAACGAAACAATATTGATTGATTGATTCTGTAATTGAACCGTTTATTTTGAAAGTGGCCTATGTTCATTTATCTTCAAATCGAGATATTTAAGGATTTGCGTTTCAATGAGTTTAAAAATATACGTATAGGATACTAATGAGTCATACTACTTAAGTGTATCTAAGGGTGTTAAATTTATAATTCCTATTAAAATAATGGCAATTATTAAGTGAATAATATGCGTTTTCTTATCAAGAATGGAGTTAGGCCACTTTCAAAATTAACAATCAGATTCATTATAAAATTTGAAGGTGCCCAAGTCCATTCAATATAATTTAAAATGCTTCAAATTGAAAAAAAAAAAACAATACTCAATTTATTTTACATATCTATAAAACACTTCGAAAAAATAATTTATGCGAATCAAAACATTTTTTAACTACATAACATACAAAATTACAAACATAAATTTATTACAAAACAATTTACTACTCATCTAGATTTTGTGTACGTGAAAGGAATATGAAGAAACCATGATGTTCCGATGATATATATCGTAATAGGTCAATTATGTCCTTGAATTTTGCTGTTGTAATTTGTCTGATATTTTTATACAGTGGTATCAATACAATATTTTCGAAGTTTCTTGGTCTACCCCGATGTGGTAATAAATTCAGGACTTTAAAATTTTCATTTTCATTCATTGATGTCTTATAGAAAATTTTATACGGTTTATTTCTGACAAAACGCATCCAACATATTTTTAACCAGTTTATTGATTCTCCATTAGAATTCTTTACTCTTTTAAAAATTGCGTCTTCTAATTTTGTTGGTACAAAATCTTCTTGTCTCATTTCATTTACAATAAAATTATTACCTTTCCGACACTTTTTAATAATCTTGTAATAATCTTGGGGAACGAACAGTAAATTATTTTTTTTTAATGACATTTCTACCACGCCAAAATCTCTATCATTTGGTAAAAACGAATGTCCTGATATTAAAAGTTTGTAATCTACGATTTCCACATTATTTTCCAAAGTTCGGACAATTTTTAACCACATTAAACCTACTTTAATGTTTCTATTTTGCCCGGCGCACATGTCACTGTATGCTATAATGTGTCTTTCTATAATGTGTTTCTTTTTTTTTTTTTTTAAACGAATATTGTTCTATAATTCTGTTTCTTTTTCGATTTCTTTTTAAATCATTAGTTACTATTTCTTATAAGTATAAATGGAGTTAAGCCACTTTCAAACTACACGGTTCAATTATTGAACTAACTCTGAAAACTTATGTGTCAAGAATTATCGTATTTGCTCAGAATATAAGTAATTTGAAATACTTTACTGATAAATAACAAAGAGTTGTACATGTAATTATGGCAACCGGAAAAAAATTGACAAATGGAGTTAGGCCACTTTCAAAATAAACGGCTCAATTAAACCTTTTGGTTTTAGTCTTTTAATTAATATATCTTCCGTTTGTATGATACGAAACTTCATTTCACAAAATTTCAAAGAGAGTCTGACGTTTTTTCTGTTAAAAATAAAATTTTTAATGTTGATTGAAATTTTTAAATAAATAAGTAGAATACTTAGAAAGTATACTGAAAGATTAATTGAATATTATTAACATTTTCAGAAGACTCTAATGTATTTTTAATAAAAATAACATAAAAAATGAATCAAAATATTTTGACGATTTTTAATGATTTTTTTTTTAAATATTAATGTTTAGATCGTTTAATTGGAATAATAATGAAGTATTCGAAAATAATAATTTAAAAATGTTCAAGCATTTCAATATGTCCTATTAACATTATCATCATTAATATTATCTTTTAAATAATGAATCTTATGTTAAAATATAATTCATATGAAGTTTATTAATTATTATACGTTCTCGGGAAAATTAATAAGAATGATCAATCAAAATAATAATAATTGATATTTATTTATACGTGCATATTTATCTATAACTTTTTTTCGTAGGCAACAGGTATGCTAATAGTGGGTGCGAGCATATTGATACGTTTTAAATTTGAAGATTATTATATTAACAATCCGATAGGAGGTCGAACAATGATATTAGCACTTGCTATACTTGGTATAGTTTGGATGCTATCTGCACAATTTGGATGCTGTTCTACGATTCTAAAGCGTTCTGGTTTGATCTATCTGGTAAACTGTAAAACAATATTTTATTTTCAATTAAAAGAAAAATTATAGAAGAATAATGAAATGAAAAAAATGTGTTAAATTAATGTTTCGTTCAATTCGCAGTATGGAGCATTTTTAACGACCATATTGTTATTGGAACTTGGTGCAGTTACATTGATTTACATTTGTATTCAAACGATAAACGAAAGATTGATTAGCATGTCAGCGTCTGATCCTAATAAAATATACACCGAGGTATAATCAAGAAAATTTAGTAAAATATTTGTAATAATATAAAAATATCTCGAAATAATAATATTTAATATTATATTCCCTAATAATTACAGAGTTGTTGCCAAATTATATTTAGAGTCGTCAAGAGTAATGTCGAATTAACGGATAGTATTATTATTGGACTATTATTATTTCCAATAATTGGAGCATGTTTAACAAGTTTTTTAGTTGATATGATTAATATCGCAGAAATTGAACGCCGGAGAACCGATCGCGTATAGGATAGACATTTCATAGATTATCAATAAAATAATCATGTAAGTAATATTATTCATTTGTTAAATATGATCGCTTTAATTGTATTATTGTAAAAATTAATCATAACATTGAATAAATCCAATGTACATCGATAATTCTAAACAATTGATATTATTAATAATTCTAATCAATATCCATAAAATTATAATAATTATTGATATTACTAATTGATATATTAAGTTGAGGAGAAAGTTTCTTCGTATTTTAATGCAAAAGTAAATCAAATTTTTGATATAATTATAACCTTTCTAAAAATACTCAGTAATACGTCACCTTTTAAATGCAAGCCATTATTAACAGATTGATTGATTAATACTACCAGAGTTGTACGATCGTAATATCAATGGCTGAAAGAATACAAAGAAACTTTTTTTCTAATTTAAGTCAATATAAATATCGATTTAAAAAATAAAATGAAACAGAAATTTCAACAATTTCTATAAATTATAACTTTACGTAACTGCGATAGCTGGTTTATTGTTGATCTCTACTGTTAATTTTATTCTTGTTAATATTATTGAAGTTAATATTATTGAAGTATATAATGCTATCACCATTATACGTTTATCCTATCGGAATATAAGCTTGTATTGATTATTTTCTCCTCACCCACATATAATAATCGGTTTCATTTGTGGTAAAGTAAATAGTGTTAGTAGACTGTGAAATCGTTCTTTTCAGTCTCTCATATGTGTATCTCTCTTTGATGGTAACATATATCTCCGTGGTAGATACGATGTCAGTACATATTTGTTTCACGATAAATGTATAGAAAATAATAAATATAATTGACACGTATAAAAATTAATATATAAATTTTCGACAAAAATAGGAATATGTCGAATATTTTTTTGTAAATAATTATTGAATACTTATATATATTATATTATTTTAATACAAATTAAAACGAATTCATTTCTACACTACCCATGAAGTAAAACTTCTACCGTTATTTTTTTTATGTGGTTTCCCCTGTAAGACTAGTTCATTCTAATCTACATCGACTATTACTACTACTACTACTACTACTACTACTACTACTACTACTACTATTACTACTGAAACTAATAACAATAGTAATATAATATAATGTAATGTAATAATAATAATAATAATAATAAAAATGTACTTAAACATTATTTATATACATAGAAATATTATTTAACACGTTGACTGCCACGAGCGTTTTCAGTAAAATCTCCTTGAGGTCACGCGTATCGTGAAAAATAATAAGAAATTAAAAAAAGATTTTATTAAAAAATTTGTTTATAATAAAAAAAAAAAAAAAAGAAAAAAAATTCTTTTTTAATTTTTTTTTATTTAAAATTTTTTTATTTTAAAATTTAAAGAAAACAACAACTTATTGTTCAAGTTGTCCCGACCAACCTCAGCTCTGTATAGAATGTTTTAAAGTTTTACATTCTACATAATTTTCTTAATAAACCATTTTCGTATTATTTTTATAACAATAGTTTATATTAATAAATATTCATTATAAATTTAAGTTTATATTAATAAATATAATTTATATTAATTAATATTCAATAGCTTTGTTACTTCCTCTGCGAAAATTTTTTCAATATATTTAATCTTCAACTATATTTAATATTTTTTCAAACACATACGAATTCCTTCGCAAGTAGTCAAAGAAATGTCACCCCAATACGGATGACACGGCCCAATTAGAAATTCTATTGTCACCCGAATATGGGTGACGTGGCAGTCAACGTGTTAATACATTTTATATTATAATAGTAAAGACAATTAGCTTCGACTTATCGTGAGTAAGAAACAATATGAAAACAAATGCATAACGATCATTAGATAGTAAGACAAGAAGAAACTATAACAAACGGAAACAAAAGAAATGTTTTTTACTTTTCATCAGGTATCGTTTCATTATTTGCATTCCGTTGTTCGCCGCTGCGACAGCATCCATGAACAACTTCGTATTTTTATACATGTAGCGAGATATTTTGGTATACAATAAAACCTGGTTTTGTGCGGTCCTTTTTTATGCGATTTTATTTTTGTGCGATTTTTTTCGTGCGATTTATTTTTATGCGATATATGAATCTTATCGACGTTAGCACCAATTTAATGTTTCCTATCAATGTACATATACATTTTGTGGACGAACTTTGATTACGTGATCTCCTTGACAAAGATGTATCTGGACTTCGCAATGCTCTGTTCATTTGTTTTAAACAATCTCTTGACAAGGCAGAGTCAGTTACGTACATATTGTAATGATCCTGGACGAGATGATTAAGGACCAAACTGTCAATGATAATGACATTATCAATAGTTTGGTAGATTATGATAATGGACAAGAAGAACTGGAATCTATTACTGCAGATAAAATATATGCAGGAATCCAGATTTCTACAAAATTGGAAACGCATTTTCTTAAAATAGATACCAATGCGGAAAGACGCTTAAAATTCCAAAAAGAGTTGAGATCATGCATGTCTCGTTATCGTGACGTTTACAAGCAATTGACTAGTCGACCGTCGTCACAAAAACTGATCACTGACTTTTTATGGTACCAAAAAACAAATCAATTGAAATCCTATCTTCAAGCGACGAAAGCGATTTTGAATCAATTCATCACAAGAAGATGCGCGTTTTGGATTACGACGAGTAACACCAAACTATTTAATGTATAATTTGAAAATTTCTCCATTGTATATGTACAATGAAGAATTAAATATTTTTACAATTTCTTCAGGTCTAATTTAATTATTTAATTTAATTGAAGGCGTTCTCTCATTTCTATTCTATTTCATAAATTATTGATGTATTTTCTAAGTCCGACTTTTTTTATGCGGTCCCTATCCACCGCATAAAAAAAATTTTAGGTAGTATATCGTACAAAGTTGTTTATTATATGTAAGAATTTATAAAATTTCCGAATATTTTTTTGTACGATTTCTTTTATGCGTTCCCTATCCACCGCACAAAAACAGGTTTTACTGTATGCTTATTGTAATCAATCTGGCGAAATACTCCTGGAATAGCTGAATAGCTCATAGTAAAAATGACTCGAAGTTGTTGATATTAAAAATTGCTCGAAATGCAAAGGATTAGACGTATCTATGAATGGGCGATTATGCGTTGAAATATTAAGAACACGATTTGTTAAATGTTCGTGCATAAAACCATCACGTAAAATGACATGGACGAGGATCTAGATTCGTAATTCAGGAATCGAAGTTCTCGCAATTATATAATTATGTTAATTTTTTTTATCGTATCAATGTAAATGAAAATAATTAATTAATTTATATTTTTTTTCTAATTTGATAATTTAATAAAGCTGTAGTATTTGATCTCTTACATTTATTTCTTCTACTGATGATTGACGTGAATTTCACGATGATCTATGCTAGATCACAGCAGAAGTATAATTTTGTTTAATTACAAATGTATATAAAGTATATATATATATATATATATATTTGTTTATTATTTTTTCAGAATTAATCAATAATGAACATATATATTATATATTATTTTTAGTAAAGATCAATACACGAATTTGTTTCCACATCATCTGTGAAATTCTTTTCCCAGCCCTATTTTATTATAGTTTACTTTGTAGAAGTTAACTTCATATTATTATTATTACTATTACTATTACAATAATAATAAATAGAGCTAATGTATTTTTAATGTATAAAATCTAAAAGGAACTACAAATTTTTCAAAAATTTAACAATATTTTAAAAACTCAGATCCATTGACATTACGTAAAGTAAAAATAATTATTATCCTAATATATAAATAATTTTAGATATGTCATATATTATAATATATAAATAAATTCTTATAATTATTTTTATACTCTTTAATAATGTAATTAGGTAATTATAATATAAATTAAGAACGATAATTTAATATAATTTATTGTTTATTAAAATATAAAATAATTATTTTATAATCTAAATTATAATCTTTCAATGTAATTTAAAATAAGAAAAATTATAGTAATAAAAATATTTAATAAATCTTTTAAAAAAATAATTATATAATTATAAGAATTTAATTGTAATATAAAAATAATGTATAAATAGATATATAATTATAAATTTTAATTATTTAAGATATAAAAATATTTATTAATATTTGACACGTTAATTTCTTATTTTTCCATCTGGAAAAATCATCTGTCCAAAGCTCATTAAAATAATCAAGGTAATTACTGTATCTGGAAATATTCAGAAAATCTTACTATCAGCTGTTAACGCACACAAACAGACAGCCAATCATTACTTTATGTATATAAACACACGTCATTTAAGCGTGTATATGAAAAACAATAATGGAATTACAACATTTTTCTCTTTTACTGCAAATTTCGAGAGTTACCACAGTACAAAACATTTTCTTGGCGAAAAATGTCAAAAATATTTACGCCATCAATGAGAACAGGAGTAATTTACGATCAATTTTGATAAATACGATCTTATTTTAATGAAAAATATTTAATACAAGACACATCTTTCTAGATTTTTTAAATAAGTTTTGTATTTGTGCATAAACTATTTTCGAAGAAATATCTTTCAATATTACGATTTTTTTCAAAGAAAATAAAACTTTTTCAAAAATTTAAAAAAGATGTATCCTAAATTGTACTTTTCCCTTTAAAATAAGAATCTGATTATCAAAATAAGTTAAAAATTACATCTATTCTCATTGATGGCGTAAACTATTATAAAATCAAGGGTAACGGCTCCAAGCGTAGCATTTACACCATTGCAAGAAAGATATTTTCAAAATATTTATTATATTATATCATTTATCATAGAGTCTAAAAATACATCAAATCATTTTAATTATAAAAAAAAAATAAATAAATAAAAAAAAAATTACTTTTTATTATACTTAAATTTACTTATCTTAGATAAATATTATTGTCTACAAAAATAAAAAAATAATTTCATTAGGAATAGTTTCGTTTCCATGTCGTACATAATTATTAATAATAGTTATTCCTATTATCATAATTATTAATAATATAAATATATAAATATATAAATATATAAATAATATAAATATATAAATAACATAATTATTAATAATAGTTATATCCTATTATAATGGATATCAGGAGTCATTAATAAATTAATAAATTAGTTCATATTATAAACATTGTAATGTATCGATCAGTCAAACAGAACGGTGCTTTTCAATATAAATATTCACACATACATATGCAACTGAAGAATCAACTACAACAAAATAGTAGTAGGTCATGTGTTTACGGGTTTGTAGGAGGGAGTAAGAAAGAATAAATACAGGTTCTATAGAGAACGAATAATCGAACGGGAAGAAGAGATAAATAGCGAGTAAGAGGGAGGAAGTAAGAGAGAGAGAGAGAAAGAGAGAGAGAGAGAGAGAGAAAGAGAGAGAGAGAGAGTTATAACGAATGAGTGAGAGGGAAGAAAGTATGTGGAACCGGCCAGAAGCAAGTGTGTGCATGTCGAAAAATAATTCCGACTCACTTGCATTACCCACGTGCTTGAATTTTATTTCTGCGTGTGTGCGCGTTTTTAAAATTTTTTTTATTTTTATTTATTCATCTTCTTTTGAAAATCTTAAATAACAATTAACCAACAAGTTCGAGATTTCATACTTGCTTGTCGCATTTAATGCAATTAAAAATACTTGCTTCTCTTGAGACAGTCTTCTCGGTTTTAAACTGCATTTAGTTTAATTCAAACAACAGGCAGGAAAGAGAAAATAATGTAAGCCAATATATAGTTTCTCGGAAAGTTGAAGTACCTCCTAGAAAACATTGCAATTAATCATCCGTTTATTAGAAAGGCCGTCATTATCGGGAATTAAACGAAGTAATTAAATATCGGCTAATTAAAAGTCTCAGAATATATTTCTAAAGTTTTATACTTTCGCGTTGTAAATGTTCTAACGATTAATGTGTCCTTTCTTTTTATTTGTTTATTATTTTTTACTTTTTATATTTTTATTTATTTATCTACTTTTTTATATGGAAAATCTAAAATAACAATTAACGAACAAGTTCAGTGTTTCAATTTGAATTTTTCATAGTCTCTCATTGACGTATTTTCTAAACGGATAATGCTAACATGAGATTTGTCCATATCGCTCATCTCTCTCTTTCTTTCTCTCCCCCCCCTCTAGCTCTCTCTCTCTATCTCAAGTTCACAATATCGCGACAGTCTATTGCCCGTCCAGTAAAACCAGTTGCAAGAGCAAATTTATACTAATTCAAGGACATGAACTAACAAAACGTTTCGACCTTTAATATATTTTCAAATGCAACATCTGCTCGTAGAACAGATGCGTTTACCACAGACGATCAGTTTACATTTATAAAGAGGTTTTCATAAGGGAAACCTGTTGCCAGCTACAATTAATTCTCATTTTTATTTGTTCGCATTATAATGTATTTCCCATCGCATATATGCCTACATATGCACGTATATATACATTATATATGTAGTCTCAATCGTGCATCGGCAATAGAAACTACGAAAAATTTCCAAAATAAAACAATTGCTAAATAGTAAATCTTCATTAATTATATTTTCAATGATATATTCCCTTCATATTATTAATGTTCTCAAATTTATAACTATTTTTTTCGTTCAGTAATTTGTTATACATTTCATTTAATAGTTTCATTTTAAATTTTGTCGATTTTTCGTCCTTTCGAATTTCTATACCTTTATAAATTAAATAAATATTTATTAATTAAAAGAAAAACAAAAAATATATATATATACATGTATTACATATATTACGTGGACCGGAAAGTAATTTCGCTTTCTTAAATTAAATTCAAACGAATAAATTTTTAACAAGTTTTTATTTTTAATCACAATCAAATATCGACATGTGCAGAAATGACATTACTTTCCGATCCACCTAATATATATTGGATATTCTTTGTAATCCTGTCTGGAAGATATAGACTGACTAATTTGAATCATTTATTCTTGCTTCGATTGTATTCATAAATGCATTATAATTAAAATACTACAACTCTTTACTCTTTCGCTGTTCTATTCAAGATTTTACTCATTACTCTTTATTACTGCTCTTTTTGTTACTCTCTATCGGTCTATTGAGATCTTTCATCGCTATTTTTGACTCGATCTACTCAAAAATGTCCCTCCATTGTTCTTTTTCTCACGTATATCCCGTAGCCTTTCTCATTCTCATTCTCATTCATGCATACGCATTTGGTAATTCATATTGCTTTTTGTCCTATTGATTACTCCGACTTTCGACTAATTTGTCTCATACAAATATACAAAACTAATTAACACTAGACCTTCAAACGTACCCTCGGCCATTCTGCAGGTATATTCATGCTCGAATGTTTTTTTTTCACGCTCTTTAACGTCGTATCATCTTTTCTTTTCTTTAAAATCACTTACCATCAATTGACCACAATTTGCCGACACATTTTACACTTTACTATGCACTTTCTAATAATTTATTATCTATCTCACTTATTCCTTCACATACATTCATCGTACTCCGAGTTAAAATAATATTTACGATGTTGTTTATCTTACACACTACGTACCTACACAATTTCTTTTCTTTTCGTAATTTTTAAATTGTTGTTGTTTTCTATTCTTTGATTTTTGTACTTTTCTGTTCAAAAATACATGAAGATATAGATTTTGTCCGATTCCTTGTGTGGTTTCTCGTTCATAGATAATTTCCCTGGTAACTCCAAAACATCACCGTCAACTTCATCATGCTGTTCTTCGTTCGAACTTTGATGACCAAATAATTTCTCAGTACGCCTTGTCATTCCAGCGTGACAGTCTTGCATCTCTTTGATTTTTTTCGTCAGAACGTCGAAATTTCTTCCCTCTCCTTAATGGCACGGTTTTTAAGGGTGCTTCTTGGGTTAGCAGTTCCATATCAAGTTTTTTCTATCATTTCCAGAAATTGCTGCTGCATAGTGTACAACTCTTTCATTTGTGCTTCAATGCCAGAACATCTCTTCATTTTTCACTGCCTCCGTCGCCTGCATCGCGACTCTCTTCGTTGTCCAAGCAGGATTCTCGTTCCTTACCATCGCTGCTGTTCAGTTACTGAGCGTATCTGCTTCGTGAAGCCTAACAATAATTCTTCCGGTATTATCTGAAGGCATGCTATAGCAATCCCCACTCCTGAAATATCAGCACGATCCCTCGAGGCATGCCCAATACTGATCATCCTAACCCCCCAGAAACTCGACTAAGAGGCAATTCATTGGCTCACGTTGGCTTGACGTCATTGCCACCCCTGCCCTGCACGACCTATGAACTTGGATGATGGTACCTATTTGCCGTATAAGAGAAAGAGAAAGACAAAAAGAAAGAAAAAGAGAATGAAAGAGTGTGAGTGTGTAGAATATGAAGAAATGGTTGAATGGAAGTACTCCATCTCTCTCGCGAGTGACAGAGACGAAAAACGATGTTAAAATTTAGGAAACTTTATTTGGTGCATCCTTCGATCTTTCTTTTACTCTCTATGCAAAAAAAAAAGTAAATCGATTCATTATTTTTTTATTATTGTTAATTTATTCGTCTACCGTGATGAATACTATATTTTATAAATATTATGTAACATGAAATATTCTATATAAATATATTTTTTATAGAAAATAGAGAAAAAAGAAACAAAAATAGGGATTATATATTTGTTTAAAAAAAAAAGAAAGAAAAGAAAAATTCTTTTAATGGTGGGTTGATATAACTACGCCTTTTTCGTGGACAATGTTAAAAGAAACTTTGTATATCAAACAATAAATATGATACATTTATTTCAATTTATCAGGTACACTGTAGTTTAATCAGACAATTACTTTCGGCAGCTATGGCTGTGGTTCCAAGAAGAACGAATGATTTCTTTTTTGTTCCCGGTGTTTTCGTTGTCTTTTTTGTTGTCTCTCACTTTTTTTGATTAGTTTCCAATGTGTGTGTTTGATAGCACCGAGGCATGTTAATTAATTATGTGTCTTGCCAGAGGAGGCGTAACAGTCGCAACGATGTCGCCACAGCATATACTCACCAGTGCCATCTAACAATGCATTCTAGAAATGTAAAACTAATGAAAAAATAATGGCGCTGTCCATATTAGACGTATAAGGTTAAGTTACCTTAATTTTATAATCAATCTTTGTTTAAAAAATTGATAGATACGTTTGATCCTATGGTTTTTTATAATGATATATTTTCCTTATGTATAACATTTATGTTAAGTTAATACCGATATTCAGATGATATCCAAGAAAATCATTTGCGTAACCATATTCTCAATATATATAGATATATCATAAAACAATATTTTACTATAATGTCTTTATTACGAATTATTCGATATAACGAATTATTCGTTATTTTTCCGTTAAATGCAAGGTAATTATTCTTCTTTAAATCATTATAAGCTTTTAGAAAAAGAAATTATACTTGATGTTACTAATTTTTTTCCTTTTTTATACAAGTCATCTTTGTATATTATTGCTAATATTGAATATCATTAAGGATAATAAATATAAAAATCTTTTTTTCAGAGAATTCCTTTTGAGTAATTCGTCCAAAAGAAAGAGCAATGTCATCGTTCAATTCAAGAGAAACTTACACGTCACAGTTAGTTCATCTATTAAACAAGAGTACAAGAAACAAAAGATTCTATCAAACATTTATAAAGTTGGTTGAAGAACATTAGCAACGGATGCACCTAAACATTAAAAATAAATATGAAACAAGTTTCATGTGAAGCAAATAAACAGAATAATGAAGTAACAAGAAATACTAACTAGTCGCATTTTTCATGGAAAGACTTTTTGGAGTATTTATATCCACATATTTGGTATTTATTGATTTATTTGTCAGTAAGTATGAAAATATTGATCCAAGTAAATCAAGCGTATACAATATAATTATCTTCCTTCAAACGTTTATAAAAATGATGTAACAAAAAATATTCTAATCAAATTAAATTATAGATAGATATAAAATTTATTTATCGACCAACAGAAATTAAATTTATTACGTAATATAAATTTAATTAGTTGTGCAAGTGTTGCAGTACCAAATGAGATATTTTCTACCGTCTTTGTGTAAATCCATATTGTTTCACTACATTCTGTATATTTTTTATTTGTAGAGTGCCCTAATGGTTACAATGTTAAATTCTTGGATACCGCAATCTATTGGCAATATCATAAATATATTGATAAAAATATACCAAGACAAAAAAAATGATTTTACATTGAATACTTTGGAAATGCTTCTTAGACCACCATTTGTGCTGGCACATATATATGTTGCGCAAGTATGCACATTTTATATATTTTCCAAAATTTCAAATATATATTCAAAATATGTACATCGCAAGGCTAAAGAAGTTCTACACAAATTATTGGTCTTGTTATTTCTGTAATAAATGTAATGTTATAGTCATGTTATACTCAATTAAGAGTAGCAGTGTTATTACGTATGCCAACAGTTTTATATTTATTGGTAATCTATTAGGAAAAAACTTGCGTAATTTTTCTACAAAAATTATGGAAGCTGTTGTCTGTGAAGAAGCTATCCAAAATATACCAACGGTAAATTAAGAATTATTCTATACTTTAAAATCTGCTCAAATGCTATACCAATGGAACATTGATACGTTGACCATAACACCGAAATAACTTGTTTTGACGTTACGAAAGTATTTTTATTATTCTAAACATATAATGGCAAAATAATAATAAAAATGGTTGTATAAATATGGTCAAGAATGTTATTTTAAAGTATTTTCTTATTAGTCATGTTGTTGAAAATTCAGTGACTGTCAATGTTCTTTCAACTTTTACAATTATAAACATTTGAAGCACTTTGGTGACCGATGACTATAGTGAAACAATTGCGGTCACATATGACCACCGTAGCGATCAACGTATTAATTTATATAATGATCTTTTTCTTTTTTACAGATAAAAGCGTTTGCAGCAGGAAATCAAGAAACAAGTATTTTCTAAAGAAGTTGAGCATGCAACTGAGTTATATGAAAATGTAGAATTTGGTATTGGTTTGTTTTTTAGTAGGAACAGATAGACTAAGCGTAGAAGAAATAAAAATGGCAAAAGATATGATAAGAAATTCCCTGGAACTATTTTATCTACAAGGAGATAAACTCACGTTCACAAATACCATAACTCATAAGATCGAAACCGTAGATTCAACATACATTTCCGTACGCCAATATCTTTTCCCTCCTATATACAAGAAGGAAATAAACAAACGGATAAGCGAGCTCTTAGAAAACGACGTTATTCAACCTTCAACATCGCCTTATAACTCTCCTCTCTGGATCGTCCCGAAGAAAGCAAGTGCTGACGGGAATAAAAAATGGAGACTTGTATCCATACTTTGTAAAATGTAGATTATCGAATGCTGAACGAGAAGACTATAAAAGATAGCTACCCTCTGCCTAATATCACCGAGATATTAGATCAACTAGGGAACGCTAAATACTTTAGTATATTCGACTTGGCCTCTGGTTTCCACCAGATCGTCATGAACAAGGAAGACGCATCTAAAACAGCATTCTCAACACCATACGGGTACTACGAATTTACACGTATACTCTTCGGCTTAAAAAATGCACCATTCACGTTCCAAAGGCTGATGAATTCAATCCTCACTGGACTGGAAGGAAACGAATTCTTTGTAAATTTAGACGACATAATAATCTCTTCTAACTCTCTTTCAGAGCATGTTACCAAATATCGAAAGTTATGTGATCGTCTGAAGAAAGCAGGATTAAAATTGTTACCGGAGAAATGTAATTTTCTAAAAAAAAGAAATGACCTACTTAGGGTATGTAATCAGTTGAGACGGAGTAAAACCGGACCTTGGAAAAATAAGGGCGGTACAAGAATTCTCGGTACCTCGCTCAGCAAAGAACGTAAAACAGTTCTTAGAACTAGCCTGATATTACAAAAGGTTTATAACTAATTTTTCTGCTATTAGTAAACCACTCACTAATCTCTTGAAGAAAGACATACCATTCAGGTACAGAGGACAGCCAAGAGACATTCATTCAAACATCAGTAAATTTACTGTGTCAAGAACCATCATTACAATATCCAGACTTCTCAAAATCATTCGTCGTTACAATAGACGTATTCAATTACGCTATCGAAGGAATATTAAGCCAAGACGAAATAGGGAAGGCTCTGCCTATCGCATATACCTCGAGATTACTAAACCAAGCGGAACAGAACTATTCGATCATAGAAAAAGAATTATTAGACATTATGTACTCAGTGAATTATTTCAGACCTTATCTTTATGGTACTAGTTTCTCTTTACTAACAGACCACAGGCCATTAGTATGATTGAATTCCGTGAGAGACTCTACATCGAGATTGATACGATGGTGATTAAAGCTAGCTGAATATAAATATAACATCGTATATAAGGCCGGGAAAAGGAACGTAAACGCGGACGCCTTATCTCGAAACCCCGTAGACCTTCATAAACAAATACTCCCCATAGTAGGGACAAGCTCGTGCGAGGAAGAATTGTATACGCCCAAAAGTAAACACGTGCACCCTCAAGAAACTAAAAAATCACAAGATAGGAAAACGGACGACGTAACACATGAAACCACTCAAGCCCTACTTGACGTATACAACGAAACAGACGATACAAGTGACGAAACTTCGACCGACGAAACGTACGCTCACATCGACAGCAGTATAGTAGAAATAAAGGATAGAAAATAATGCATAACGCGAATATTACTTTCTTTACTACAACTAATGGAACTCTAGTAGATCTAGACGCAAAAGAGCTAGTAGACAACCATAAATTACCTACCATCACCGACCGACGCAACCCTTGGAAATGTAAAGGTTATTAAGAAAAATGAAAGGTATTTAATAGCGTTACCTGCCAACGAAAGAATCTCACTCTTTATTAAACTAGGGACTCTGGACGAAGTCCTTCATTCTCTTCTTAATGCGGCCACCGAACCACAATTAAAAACAGTAGCAATCTCAAAAGGATCAGTGGGAGATGTATCCTGGGCCGACGTAAGGCGGGAAAGTCGTTCGATCTTTTAGGTAGAGAAATAAAGATTATTATATTAAGGCATGAGATAGAGATACTTAAAGAAACTGAACGAATTGAAATAATACATGACAACCATTCAACGTCTGTACGTAGACATAATCGAAAACTTACTCTAAAATCCGACAAACATGCAATTGGGCAAATTTAAAAAGAGATACTCAAAATTATATACAAAAGTGCAGAAATTGTCAAACGATAAAGCTTGATAAGTTAAAAACTCATTAACCGATGACTATCACTGACACGTTTGGGAAGGCGTTCGATAAAATACCTATGGACATTATAGATCCGATGCCTACCACGAAATCCGGACATAGCTATTTTTTAACAATGCTAGATCTTCTCAGCAAATATTCTATTGTGATTCCCATTCAACAAGATCATTGGAGGGAATCGCTGATGCATTTATTAAAAATGTAATGTGTCGATTTGGCTCTCCAAAAGGTATCTTGACCGATCAAGGTATCAACTTCTTGTCGGAATTAATGAAAGCCATTGGTAAGAAATTCAAAATCCATCAATATCAGACGAGCGCATGTTACCCACAATCGAACGGCTCAATCGAACGATCACATCACGTCCTTGTAGAATTCCTTAAACATTTCATTATTGAAAACAGCGAATGGGACGATTGGATTGATGTGGCAATGTTTTCATATAATACAAGTGTACACAATGGAACGATGTATACACCTCACGAACTAGTGTTTGGCCAATTAGCCAGAACACCGAACGAATCTACCTGTAATGATTTATAAAATGAAACATATGCGCATTATCTGGGAATGTTAAATGAGCAGATTAATAGATCACAAGAAGCTGTGAGACAAAATTTAATTAACGAAAAAACATAAAAATATACTATGACAAAAAGCAGCGAATTGTCGATTTTAAAGTAGTAGGAAACCAAGAATATCTTCTGAAAGGAAAACATAAAGGTAAACTCGATAACAAATATATCGGACCATTCGATGTAGTAAAAGTATTAAACAAGCATAATATAAAAGTTCGTACCGATATTGGCGACCGCATAGTACACGCTAGCAGCCTCAAGGTCAATAAATCTAAATAACAGTCGCCATCATGGAAACCTGTAATATTGATAAACAATTTCTTTAAGCACAGCATGGCGCAATAATACCTCCCCCTTCCATGATGACGATTTATAAAGTAGTCCCCCACTACAGTCAATAAATTAAAATACAAGAAACGTTAAACGAGCTAACAGCATCCATTGCCTTTCGAATTGCATCATTGCAAGACGGAACAGCTCAGAAATCGACATAAAAATCTTTACAATGGAAATCTTTATTTTAATACTAATCTTAATAAAAGGACGACAGGTATTTTTGTCATCCAACATTTGTGCCAGCAATTGCACTCTACGGGCACTCTCTCTCTCTCTCTTTCTCTTTCTCTCTCTCTCTCTCTCTCTCTAGGCCCTAACGTATTCATATTAGGCCTAAAGAAAAACAGCATCAATACAAGAAGAGTTATCTTGAGCAGCACCGCCATGACAGACGGTATTTGCAAAGGCTCTCAATATAGCGACCTCTATGGAACATGGGACGACGTAGTAGTATACGATTCCGTGAGAATCACGCTACAAGAATATTTCGCCACCGTCAAGACAAAGACCAATCAAATCCATCTAAAATCAGGAACCGTATGGGCATTGGATGAAGAAGCCTGCCTCGACTCAGATAGAAGTGAAAGTTACTGGTCGAACATTCCGACCGACAACTGTGGTTTCTATGAATATGACCTTCTTTATGAGGGTCCAGCAATGAAACTAAAACATGCCGAATCATCTCAAGAACCCATACTTTACACAGTAACAAAGAAAGATCTTACGTTTGCTGTAACAAGAACCAGTGAGTTTATGCGGATAATCTATTATCATAAGAGAATAGCCATCTTTAGCTATTATTCATAGAAATATCACGTGGAAGGTAATTTAATGGAAAGATTAAAACTTCCGTAGAAAACTTAAATATCTTCGCCTATGTGAATTCGAAATTTATATATGTAAAAAGACATCTTAAGATACAACTAATCACGTTATATGTCGACATTATGCGACAAAAGTGTGTCTTAGAGAAACAGATACTTAAGAATGCTCTTTCGTTAGCAACAATAGTACCCAACAAAATGTATTATGCTTTGATGAAGCAGCCAGGATACATGGCGGTTATCACGGTAGAACTAATATATATATTAAAATGTATTCCTGTGAAAGTAAAGATCAGGCAGATCGAGGAATGCTATAAGGAATTACCGATCACTTATCGAAACGACTCATATTTCGTAGCATCTAAAACACATTTTATACTGAAAAAAGCTTCCTCAAAAGATGGTAACGAATTATTTCTCAACATGTATAATCTACATGGAACTTGATGTAGAGTGACTCCGAAACTGGTCAAATTAATAACTTGCCCAATAATTCAACCTTTAACGAAGTTAGATGGTTGTAACGAAGTTAGATGTACCTCCACAGTGGAAGTATATCGACCTTGAACACCCGTAAACAAGCGGTATTTACTCAAACGAGGAATCTTAAACTCAAGTCACACATTAGGAAACTAGCTGAAAAACCCATCATTATCGACACTCTTGCTAGAGGAATTAATGGGAGACATATACCTTCAGGCAAAAATCTCTTTATATAATCTAATGGATGAGAAATGAATTGTGGTCACATATGACCACTGTGGCGATCAACGTATTAATTTGTATAATGATCTTTTTCTTTTTTACAGGTAAAAGCGTTTGCAGCAGGAAATCAAGAAAAAGAAGTACTTTCTAAAGAAGTTGAACATGCAACTGAGTTATATGAAAATTTAGAATTTTGATATTGGTTTGTTTTTTTAGCAGGAACAGATTTATTTTGAAATAGTATTTTGCTTCGTTCATTGTACTTTAGTGATCATTTAATATCTATTGGGCAATTAACATTTGGCGAACTTATGGCATTTTTCATGGCAACTGAAATAGTTCAAAGATTTTTCTCTCAATTATCTTTATTGCTTGGAGAACATACGTAATAGGAATCAGTTCAAGTGCCTAATTTGAAATTTATTTTATGATACTTAAATATGCCAACAACGCCAATGGTAGTCGGAGAAAAGATAAGAAAGGACTCTCAGGGAATATAGAATTGAAAAATGTGCAATTTAACTATCCAACTTGGTCGAATCAAGTTATTTTGAAGAATTTTATTTTGGATATTAATATATGCATAAAAATTTTAATATTTTTTCAAACTATTTCATTATATATTATGCATTATTAAATGTTATAGATCGTAAAAGCGACGAAAGAAGTTAATGCTCGTGAATTCATTACAAAATTTCCATATAGTTATGAGATCTAAATTGGCAAAAGAGATGCTATATTAACTGGTTGATTGAAGCAACCATCAATCTTTGTATTAGTTGAAGCAATGATGTATAAAAGGACTAAATATTGATAATTTATCTCGTATCTTATCTTGTATTCTATATGAATTTTCTATTTTAGCTTTTTGGATTATTAAAGTAAAAGAATAGTTTACAATGCATTAGCAAATGTAACCTAAGGTAGAACAGTGTTGGTTATTACTGATAGACTAAGTACTATTAACGCTTGTTGTGTACTTGGAGTGTAGGACATTTTAGACCAACTTTAAACTCAATTTAAATGAAGTTAACCCTTTGCACTCAGAGCTATTTTCGTGCGAATGAATCAGCAACTGGAGACATTTTGTCGCGCTTTTGATAAATTTCTTACTTCTAACTTAAAATGATTAAACACACAAATTATCCTATCAAACTTTTATATTTTAACATTTTATGTATCTTTACATCTTTACGAAGATAATTTCTTAAACATTAGTCTTTGTAATTTTTCTTTGTATAATATTTCATATAACAATTGCCGAGATGGATTCCCAGCTTTTCGGGACAAGTATTACAATAGTATGTTGTTTGATATCTTTTGCCGACTTTATTTTTTTGAGAACAGACTTTACAATCCTTCCTAATTCTTGTTAGAATGTTATGCGGTTTTCCATTCAGACGGATCTTTTCGGAATCAGAGGTTGAGGTTGAAGTTCGATCACTATTATCATCACTGCTCGTGTTCTCTCTATCGTCAAGCTCTCTGAGTATAGATGTAATTTCTTCGTTAAGTAACGTTACATCAAACTCATCTTCAATTGACTAAGTTTCATGCTTATGGGGATCAGAAAGTTCAATTTTTATAATCCTTTTGTCACGACTTTCAAGTTCGAACTAAGACCGATAATGAAGTCCGGTTGATGGTTGCGCATTAATTTCAAATAAGAAAACAATATTTCCATTTGAAACGAAGTTTGTTATCTTCGTAACATTATACAGGAAGAGCTTAGGAACACAATTGAATGAAAGAAAACAAAAAGTTCTCACTGTGCATCGAATTTCTACATCGAAACAAAGTGGTGAGCGAGTATCTCACCTCTCGAATTGCGGCATTAAATCATGTGGTGAATGAAAGTCATTTCTCCAGTGCAAAGGGTTAATGTTTGTCATTAGGATTTCTACAATCATTTATCTGTAGTTGAGATATGTATCGTTATATACCAATCGATAGAATAGTCCGCGTTGTATCACAGTCGCTGAGTTGTGATCGAGTAAATTTAAAATTTGTAAAATCTGAAGTGTACCACATCCTGTGTGCACAAATCCCGTGTGTAAATTATTTTTGCATTAATTTTTGATTTTCTATTATTAAAAATTTTTAGTCCATTCATGCTCTAAGTAATGTAATCCTTCATTTAAATGTGATAGAAATTATTTTCTAATTTTATATATCATTCATATTCAAAATCAAATGTAATCGATGAGAATGGAAAACTACCTATTATACAGTACTATAATAAAAATAAAAGAATCGACTCTTTTGATCAGTTATGTCATTTATTCACTGTTTAACTCATTCGAGATCAATTGCATACCGTGCAATGCCCTTACGAGGCTATGAGACCGGCTGTACACCGGGGGTGCAATAGTAATGATAAATAATTTTCAATTATTCTGAGTAAAATATTCGTCTAAATAAAAATTACTTTTTAATTAATAATATCTGTAAAATATACAAAAACATAATTTGTCATTTATTTGTACCAAATAAAATAAAACGTTTTATTTGAATTTTCGAAATCTACATTTTTAAGAAATATCATTGCAGGAATCCATATGTCTAATTCTATTTTTCAAATCTATCATTAACATCAATAGTATCGCCTTCTATTCATACCACCTAAATGAAAATCATTATCTTAAGCCAGTGGGATTTGCGTATTCAAAATTTCTTACATGTAAGAAATAATATCTTAAATCTTATTATCTTAAGCGCTGGTTTAGATAATACATTTTTTCTTTTCTTTGACCCATCTTTATTCGTGAATAAATAAGAAATTCGTTTCCACCATTCTGTGTCTCATCCGTGAAAATGGAGCACCAACGACGACGTGTAACAATTCAGTTTTACAGAAAATTCTTCGCAGAAACCAATTGCACAGACGGTGTGCAATCATCTTATTTATGCGAATTGCCTTATGAATTGGCTGATTTCCATAGTAAACAAGGTTTTTTTTTTACTGAAAATGAACAATATAATGAAAAAAAAAATTTTTTTGACCCTTGGGACCGTGTTTGAAAAAATTCACGTTCTCGAATGGGTTAATAGAAAAAAAAAATCATTGACTTATAAGAATTTTCTTCAGTATTATTGGATATGATTGGTATAAATTCCATAAAGTTATTGAAATTGTAAAATGCTGGTAGAAATGTTACAATATTTTTTCAATCTTACCTGAAAGAATTCTATAAGTATTTTTGTAAGGATTATTTATTAGTGTGTTTCAATATATCATTCTTTCGAAATAATTTAAAATTAGGAATTAAGATCATATTCGGATTTAATGCTGAGGAAGATGCAGATAAATTCTTTAAGATTATAGTATATAAAAAATAATGCCGATGTATGATTTGTCCACATTCGAAAAATAGGAAAATTAAAATTTGATGTCCCTCATATAGACATCCAATATGTAATTAGCACTGCAATAGTTTTTGCGTTCGGTGCATCGGTCACGAGTAAACATTTAATTATTTTTTTATTGTAATTTTGTACTTTTATAACTCTTTGTAGAGATATGAATTTGTATGTATGGATATTTCAATGAAATGAATGGAAACAAAAAAAAAAAGGAAAATAATAGAGATTGATGAAATAATTAAATATTTTTTTCCTTCTCAAAATAAGCTTATACTTGTACTATAAAATAATTATACTTTTTGCAAAGATCATTTGAGTACTTATATATTTTTGAAAAAGACTCATCTCAAGATGATTATGTTGTTAGATTTTTTTTTAAATATTAGAAATTAAAATAGATATTCGGTTTCTAATGAAAAAAGTCAATTTTTGAGCATTGCATGATTCTTGAATTTTTTTTTATAATGTTAAAATTGGAAATGCGTTTTCATAATTACTGGATTATTATTTCTGAAGTTTCGAAGAATATACAAAATTTTTTTGGAATAAAAATTATTCATTCTGTATAAATCACAGCTGTTCAAAGTGCCTAAGGTGTAGCACATTCCAAATGCACAATTAGAAATTATTTTGAGTGTACATAACTAAGGTTAATATTATGTACATATTATACATATATATATGAGCTGTTTATTTCGAAAGTGGCCTAACTCCATTTGTCAATTTTTTCCGGTTGCCATAATTACATGTACAACTTTATGTTATTTATCAGTAAAGCATTTCAAATTGCTTATATTCCGAACAAATATGATAATTCTTGACACATAAGTTTTCAGAGTTAGTTCAATAATTGAACCGTGTAGTTTGAAAGTGGCCTAACTTCATTTATACTTAAATCAAGATATTTACTACTGATAATGTCTAAAGGCAGTGATGAAGGTAATTTTAATTAATTAGTATTGAATAAGTTAACCTCAGTTTTTGGACAATTGCATTAATTGAATAACCAGTACGTTTAATTAATATAAAACTAAAAATTTAATATTAAATTTTAGAAATTATTTCACCCATGGGGAAGAATAGAACAAGACCATTTACTTCAGATAGTGAAGAAGAAATAGTAACTAATGATTTAAAAAAAAATCGAAAAAGAAACAGAATTATAGAACAATATTCGTCTTAAAAAAAAAAAAAGAAACACATTATAGAAAGACACATTATAGCATACAGTGACATGTGTCACTGGGCAAAATAGAAACATTAAAGTAGTGTGTAATGTGGTTAAATAATGTGGTTAAAAATTGTCCAAACTTTGGAAAATAATGTGGAAATCATAGATTACAAATTTTTAATATCAGAACATTCGTTTTTACCAAATGATAGAGATTTTGACGTGGTAGAAATGTCATTAAAAAAAAATAATTTACTGTTCGTTCCCCAAGATTATTACAAGATTATTAAAAAGTGTCGGAAAGGTAATAACTTTATTGTAAATGAAATGAGACAAGAAGATTTTGTACCAACAATATTATTAGAAGACGCAATTTTTAAAAGAGTAAAGAATTCTGATGGAGAATCAATAAACTGGTTAAAAATATGTTGGATGCGTTTTGTCAGAAATAAACCGTATAAAATTTTCTATAAGGTATCAATGAATCAAAATGAAAATTTATTAATATATTATATTAATATATTATATATATTATATATTACATATGCATATATTAGGTGGACCAGAAAGTAATGTTGTTTCTGCGCATGTCGATATTTGATTGTGATTAAAAATAAAAACTTGTTAAAAATTTATTCGTTTGAATTTAATTTAAGAAAGCGACATTACTTTCCGGTCCACCTAATATATATATAGTATTGACTATATTTATATTATGTGCTTATTATTACTTTATTGCATTAAGTATATTTATTTTATTTATTTATTGTATTTATTATATATATTTTAATATATTATTTCAATGTTATTTCTTCTTCTTCTTCTTCTTCTTCTTTCGATGAGGCTTGCTAGGAACCACGTGCCAATTTCAATTCTTCCTATTTCATTGTTTTCTCTTCTGTTTCCTCTAATATTCCTTCATCTTTTCATTATGCTGTTTCTTTCTGTCCTCAAACAACTTCGCATCAGGTTTCTTCTTCAATCTTCCTTGGAATCCTTCTATGCTTAATATCCTCTTTTTAAAAATCTCTCTGTCTATAGTTTCTTCTTCACTTATATTATTTCTTTCTAGATCCTTCTTTACCTCTTGAATCCAGCTAGTTATTGCCTTTTTCTCTCAAAGATACATGAGTATCCTTTTAGTTAATCTGGAATCATCCATTCTGTAAATATGGCCAAAAAATTGCAGCCTTCTTTTCCTTATCGTTTCTGTTATGACTTTTATGTTCCTGTATATTTCATCATTAGATCTTAATTTCCATACTTCTGTTGTTTTCACTGGACCTAAAATTTTCTTCATGATTCTCCTTTCTAGTACTTCTAGTTTATTTAATCTATAATTTAGTACCAGGCATTCATTCGCGTATAAGCATTCCGGTTTTACTACTGTAGTGTAGTGTGGCTTATTTTAAGATTTTTAGATAAACACTTTTTGTTATAAAAATTCTTAGTGATACCATACGCCCTTTTCATCTTGTGTATCCTTTCTTCTATTGCAGATTTTTCTAAACCATTTTTTTGAATTATTTCTCCTTAGATATTTAAATTTCTTTACTTTTTCCACTGGACCAATATCTGTAGTCAAAAATTTTGAAGTGTTCTTAATGTTTGTAATAAATTTTGTTTAATAATAAGTTTAGTTAATGTTATTTATTATATTTATTTATTGTTATTATTTTCTTATTACATTTTTTAATTAATGTGTATATATATATATATATATATATATATGCATACATATTATTCATATTAAATTCATAAAATTTATAAATTATATATACTGTGTCCCAAAAGAAAACAAAAGAAAAACAATATTAATACGCAGTGCGTATTGTCTTCATTGAAAAAAGAAGAAAAAAGGAAAACAAAGAAAAGTTCAATGCTTAAACAAAAATACATTTTGAAAGAAACGTTGAAAGTTAAGAAAAAGAGAAAAAACGAATAAGATCACTGTAATTTAATTTTATTTTTTTAATTTAATTTAATTTTTTAAGTTAATTTAATTTTTTTTTTGTTTTTTTTTTTATATTACTTTCGTCTTTTATTACTTATTTTATATTACTTTCATTTTTATATTATTATTTTTATATTATTTACATCTTTTACTTTATTGTCCTACGAGTTGAAGAGAATGGAAAGAAACGTTACATAAAAAAAAAAAAGTAAAAGAAAGAAAAGAACAAAATATTAAATTCATGTAGCATGTGGCACGCAAAAAGGAAAAAAAAAATAATAAAAAAAGAGAGGAAGAAACTGAAAATTTAATTTTTAGTTCTGTTGACTCGATAAACTTCAGGCCGTTTTTTGCGCGAGTAGATAAAATAATGTGCTATGGCATATACGTGGAATACAAAAAAAAAAAAACAGAAGAAGAAATGATTGAGAGAAGAGCAGGACGGAGTATTTAGAATAAAAATTGACTTAAAAGAAAAAAATTAACTTTTTAATCTTTATTCATTATTTATCGAAAAATCAAACTCACGAATTTTTGAGTTCTTTAAAATGAAAGAGAGAGAAAGAGAGAGAAAGAGAGAGAGAGAGAGAGAGAGAGAGAGAGAGAGATGTCAGTTCGATCGTGATCTTCAAAGACGATTCGTCATGAAGAAAGTGAACTGGAATATGATATTGGAGCTGACGTTGTGTCGAATAGAAAATAAGAAAAAGAGGATAAATCATTAAACAAAAAACTTAACGAGAAATATCGATGATCTTTTAATTATTTCTTTTCTTACTTTTTTTTTGCACAATAAATTCATTTTCATTTTACTATTTTTCTCTTTTTGCGTTAATATTACTATAATAATAATAATAATAATAATAATAATAATAATAATAATAATAATAATAATAATAATAATAAAAATATATGTAATATATAAATATATATAAATATATATATATGAATGTATAGTAATAAAAAATAATATCACTATAATAATAATAATAAAAATGTGAATGACAGCCTCGTAAAATTCTTTTAAAAAGAAAAAAGAAAAAAGAAAAAAATTGTCAAAATCGTAGATTTATTGGTTACGATGAATAAGGGCAACAGGATAAATCACGGAAGCTTTTACAAATATTTGAAAGAATTTTACAAATATTTATTTGTAAAGAAAAAATAATTTATTTAATTAAAATTAGTTAGTATTACATTAAACAATTATTCTGGTATATAAGAGAAATTCAACTATAATTCTATTAAAAAATAAAATCTGTTTGTGTAGTCCTTTGGTAATTTTCAAATATTTTTTATTAATTTTAATAAAACTATTTTTTTTTTATTTATTTTCTGCTCACTGTTTCTTGACATTTGCCAATTTGATTTCTTATAGAAATGGGTTCTTTTTTTGTTTTTTCTTTAGTGAAAGTTATTTTCTTTTCAAATATTGAAAATATTGAAATAAGTGAAATATTGAAATAAATGAAAAAAAAACTTTGTAAAAAAACACACACACACTCATTTACTTTTCAAATATATTTACAATATATATGTCTTGAAAGTCCAATATCTATTTTTTCTGTTTCTGATGTAATATAGTTTATACTAGTTACTTAATAGCTTCTATCCATATCTCATTAAGTCTGTCTGAAAATTTAATTATAACGTTTTCATTAGAAAACTTATCTATTAATTCATTAGCTTTACTGTATACTAAAATAGGACTTGGTGCACATATACGTTCGTTAACAAATCGTTTCTTTTCATTTTTAATATCATCAAGTTTTTTGAATAAAATCTTATCATCTTCATTATTTTCATCTACCTTCTGTGTTTTACCTATAATATGACATAAAATAAATTAAAAATAATTTCATTATTTATAGATATTAAATAATAATGAAAATATTTCATCATATTAATTATACCTAAATTGGAAACTATTTCAGTCTCTAATTTCGTGATTTCATTAGTTAAAGACCAATATCTCACTGTTTCTTTTTCAAGAATGTCTTCAAGTAATTCTTCTATTAATTGTATTATTTGAATTTTTTCATCACTTATAGATAGATTAGTATCATCTACAATCCAATTTAAAAGTCCAATGCACAAATAAGCACGTAAACTTTTAGATAGTGAACATTTCCGTGCATAAATACTCATCTCTTCTGTAGGACTATTACTATCTAAATTTATAAGTATTTTAATGAAAGAACTTCCATGATTTACTATATATTTGCGATGCAGTATTTCAAATTGAGAAATAATACTTAATGCATTAATCAAATGAGTTAATTGTTTTGTCACTGAATCACAAATTATTGCCATTGCTAATTGGCCACTAACATTTATCCACAACTGAAATAGAATATAAATTTAAATTTATTTCACTTTAAATATTACAATTATTTCATGAATATACTTACTATTGCTTGATTATCAATACGATTACTAAAGCTATATTGACATAGCTCATCGTAATAAACTTTATATTCTTCACAATGATCTTTAAAAATCTGTAATATACCATCCTTAAATTCACCCTTTAACCAATTATGAATTGTACTTTCTTCTATTTTTATTTCTAATATCTTTTTTAATTCCTTAAACACTTTTACATGGATTTCTAAATACTGTAAATTTATATTATATGTTATATTACTATAATTAAAAAAAAAAAAAAACCCCCATAAAATATATGATCTTTACCTTAATTTGTGGAAATTTCAAAATTATATTTTCTGCAAGAGATGTATCTGAATTCTTTAAAGCTTCCATTATGGCTTGTTCTACTAATGATTTGCTTAAAACACTTTCATTAGATAACAATGCTAATTTAGCAGCTATTGTTAAACACTCTACATCTTTTCTACGTGCTAATAAAGAGGCTGCTTCTGAATAAGCTCCTAATTTGACATGACTGAAATTAATAATAGTAGACAATTATTATCGTGTATAATAAAGTAATAAATTTTTAATAGCATACCAATGAGCTGCAGCTTCAAAATGACCTTTTTCAAATTCGTAATTTGCCCAGTTTTCTAATATCGTTTTTATCATTGTATCATTAGAATCTAATTTAGATTTAGCAAGACAATAGGCTTCCTTGAACATTTGTGCATTTTGAAAAACGTCTATAGCTTCATAAATTTTATGGATACAAAGTAAATATGACACTGCCTTAGTTGGATTTGATTCAAGTATCAATTGATTTGCATATGCTTCACACATTTCACGCCATGTTCTAAAATATAAAAGAATAATTTTAAATATTTAAAATATAAAAGGATAATTTTAATAGAAAAATAAAAAATGAATTTAAAATGACTAAAATTTAAAATCATTATTCATTCTTAATTTAATAAATAAACACGACTAACTTCATTGAAAGACTTGGCGAAAGTGAAATTAAAGTATCATTAAGACGTTTCTCTTTAACAGCAATTTCCAAATTTTCTTTAAGATTATCATGCCACATATTAATCTCTGTAACCGCAATATGATTGCCCTGAGCAGTAAGTATGGATTCTGAAAAGAATAATAATAATTATTATCATATATTTTAATATTTTATGTCTAAAATATATGCGCACTTTCATTATTAATAATCTCAGAAAGTTTTGTATCCTCAGTAAATAAAGATGGTACTTCAGCATGTTCCTTTAATTGATTTTCTGAATTTAAAAATCTTTCTTCATCTTTAATAAGATATTTAATAGATTTAAGGATAGCTAACTTATTGTTCATTATTTTGGAGTATGTTGGAAAATATGGACTTTTTTCTGGAGTTTTCTTTTGTATCTCCTTTGCAATAGCCATTGATATCTCTATAATATGAAATACATTATAATTATTTTATAATTTCATGCCACTATAACACTTTATTCAATACCTGCTTTAATTGTTGCAGATTCCGAAGTTTTATTTATTGTTTCTATAACTATTTCTGAAGTATTATTATCTTCAATATTAACATCATTTGTTATTTTATTATTATCTTCGTTTACTTTTTGTTTATTCTTTTTCGATTTGGACTTTTTT